TCTACCCATTTTATGCATAGGATAAAGAGGCTCTGGGGGATTAAATGGCTTGCAAGCCCCGTATCTAGCAAGTAGTGGAGCCAGTATCAAACTCAGTCTTGTCTGAGTTTGTCCTAAGCCTATACTCCTTCCACCACATTTTGCTGATATCCAGGGCCAGATTGAGAAATAGAGAGAGCCTATCCACTAAAACAGTATCCCCACCTTATGTAAAAAAAAAAAAAAACAATTAAAAACCATAAAACAAGTGTAAGAAAGGCCAACATCTGTCTATTTTCTCAGATGACTACAATGACAAAATATGTATCAATTTCTTTCCAAACAACTTCACTGCTCCTGTTTTGGTGCCATAAGCACATGTCTGATTGTTTTATCCAGTGACCAAAGATGGAGCATAATTAGGAGGCAGTGTCCTGTGGTTTCCTGCCCTGGCTTCCCTAACTTCAGAGGAGTTTCTGGGTGTGGCCAGGAAATAGTACAAGTTTTAGGAGGTGCTATGTGAATGCATTAATAATAGCAAATTATTATTAATGGCACTGATGGTATCAATGAAAACAATAATAGCAGCCATTTATTACACACATATGTGGCTGGCACTTTATAAACACTTTCTCATGTAATTCCCACAACGACTTTATTTTACCAGTGAAATTCTGGAAAGTTAAGTCATATCCCAAGGGACACACAGTTAATGTTAGACCTGAGATTAGAACAACTCTGATCCCTAAATGTTTCTACTATACAGAGCTGTTCAAAGTCACCCAGTGGGTGAGTGATAGCACAGGGACTGACAAATTATAGTCAGGGACCTTTCCACTGCATCTCCCTGCTTCTCAAAGGGTCATCCACGAAGGCTGCCCTAAAACCAGCCTAATGGGAGCTGTTCAGCCTCTCTTCCAAACAACCTACCTCAAAAGCATTTTATGTTTTATGGGGTCCATATTGAGAGCTTGTAAGGAGTGGAATGGCTATGAGAAGGTGACATACACAGCCTCAGGAGAGTTACAAAGAAATAGATTCTTTTCTGTGTTTAGGAATATCTTTACATCTTTAAAAATCTGTGTTCTCAGGAATATTGCCTGCAAGGCATACCAGAAAACACCCTTCTCTGCCACATCTCTGCATGAATGTTACCACTGGTATGGAGTGATGGGAAAGAG